TTTGGGGGATGCACTCATCACTGCTGGAGCCCAGCTGGTGGAACTGGACCTCAGTGACAATGCCTTTGGGCCAGACGGTGTGCGTGGCTTTGAGGCTCTGCTGAAGAGCCCTGCATGCTACACTCTACAGGAACTCAAGCTCAATAACTGTGGCATGGGCATTGGTGGTGGCAAGGTAAGGGTTGTGTCCTCTTTGGGATTGAGGTCAGAGCCAGGATTTGACTTCAGACTGCCCTACACAGAATGATTGAGGTTGGAAGGTATCTTTGGTGATTGTCAACTCCTCTGCTCAAGGCAACTAGACCAGGTTCTTCAGGCTTGTATCTAGTCAGGTTTTGAATACAGACTTCACAAACTCTATGAATAGTCTATCCCAGTGTTTAATAATCCTCACGGTAAAAAAGGGAGTTTGTGTTTAAATGGTATTTTCTGTGCATTAGTTTGTGTGCATTTGTGTCTGGGTATGCGGCCTTTACACCACCACCTCCCCTCATCCTGTTGTTCTAGCTGTTTGTACACATGGATATTATCTTCCCCCAGAACCTTCTCTTCTCCAGCCTTAATAATCCCAGCTGCCAGCTCTCTCCTAGTGAGTAAAATTCTCCAATTCTTTAATCAACCCTGGGACCCTTTGCTGGACTCACCCCACTATGTCCATGTAGGAGCCTGGAATTGGACTTGGTACACGGATGCATTTCACAGAGCTGAGTGGATTACTGACCTGCTGTCAGTGCTTTTCCCAAAGCAGCCCAGCAGATTTCCTTTGCTTTAAAAGCATATTGCTTGCTCATAGCCAACTTTCTACCTATTAAGACCCCCAGGTTCTTTTCTGCCAGACTGTCTTTGCCCCTCTGACTTATGGGGTCAACCCAGTACATGAGGTTGTTTCTCTCCATGTCCAGGACTGCACATTTCCCTTTAAACATAATGAGATTCTTGTTGGCCTGTTTTTCCAGTCTCAAGATCCCAACTCCCTACATGTTTTCATGGGTAAATTTCAGAATTAAGTATAGAAATCTTATCCATTTTTCCAAGATAGGGAAACAGTTCTATCCTAAACACTAGATTCCTCATGAAGAGAGCTAATAGCCTTGGATTTGAGTGAACAGTATTGTCAAGCCTAGTACTGAAGGCCCTGTTGGATTGAAGCAGGAAGGGTTAATTGGGACTGTGGGCCCATAAGGGTCCCTACCCCCCTGTACACCCCCCTGTACACTTGTAATCTGCCTTAAACCATATTTTGTAAGCTGCACTTCGCACAAGAAGATTCTGTCCTGTGCTGAGGGCATCGGACCTTGAAGGAACCACGATAAATGCTGGGCAAGGGGCCCAG